CAACTCCCTCTTTGCAATAAAGAACTACTAAGTTGAGATTGAGACTCAACAAACAAATAGTGTATGAGATGAAATAAGAGAAGAGACTAAGGTAAAAATGTACAAACAATCAACATGGTTTTAGGGCATTGCATAATAATCAACATAATCGATTGTTATGTAATTGTAAAAAAAATTAACATCGTTGGCGATAACTCACGCGCGGGTTATATCTGATGGGTAACCATGCGTACTCATAAGCTAGAGAGAACGAAAGACATTCTCAACAGATCCATCTCTAGCACACCATCTAAGCAGTCACATATGGAGTAGTTGCTTAATATAAATATGTTCTCTAAATATGTTAACAACTCCTTAGGCATAAATAAAGTTGTATCTTGCAAACTCCTAGTTCTATTGTAGTGAACTGCGAGAGGTATGGTTGACTCCCAAATAGGAAAAAAAACTAAATGTTTAAATGTTTCCTAACTCATATATAATGCGGTCAGGAAGTTTTTCGACTACAATAAGACAAGTGGGGATGGTTACGCTCGGCATGTGGCACCGTTGTCAAGGATCTCGACTATAATGGTATCAGATATTAGTACTTCGGGTAATTTGAGCAAATAACAACAAAAATAAAGGTACTGCAAATAAATAAATAGTTGTGAAGGTATGGATTATTTTGAAAAATAGTAAATAAAAAATAATAAACCTCATTTACTTGATAAGGCAACTAAGGGCCGCACTAATGTTTTAATTATAAAATTGTTAAAGATATTTTTTTGCTTAAATAAAAGTTTCTCGATGAGCATCATTCTGAGTAAACGTGACGTTCATTATGTTTCCGTCATGTTATATATTTGACGTTAGGTAATAAAGGTGCATTATAAATATATATTATTCTCTTGTTATAATACATATGAGTTGAATGTTAATATCTATTAAAATATTTTTTGCTAACATAAACCATATAATTGTCATCAATATATCGTAATGCTTGATGACTATTTATTTATTTGTGAATGTATAATTATTTAATAACCTACGTTGAAACTTCGAGATAGTTTAACGGGATGGAGTGAGCATGGTTTCCTATATTGTTGCTAAAGTTTGAAGTTTTAATTACACATATATCTTGTTACGTTGAGTGTAATCTCCAAAGTGTGACTACTCTTGTTAACTTTGTGTTTGACAAGTTGTGATACTCTATAAATTGAGAACCGCATACGTAAACTTACCTGAAGATAGTTTACCGGGATGAGTTGACATGGTTTCTTATGCTATCTCTGAATTTTAAAGTTTCAAATTATATGTTAATCTTGTTAGTTTTAGTGTTATCTAAAGTGAACTGCTATTGTTATGTATTTGACAAGTTATGATACTTTTCGAATTGAAAACCCGTTCGACCTTACCCTTTTATATGATTGATATCATATCATATATATCCCTTACGGGATTTAAACTCATGTCTTTATCATGAACTGCACACGTGAACTTAATTGGAGACAATTTATTTGGATGGAGTGAGTGTTGTTTTCTAGTGTTTTTCTTTTAACCACTTAGGATACACTCATTTCTCTTATTCAACGTACGTAATTTTGATTCATAAATTGCAATTGATTAACATTCAAACTATTTATCATTTCATCATTCCATTTTCATGCTCAAGACACACTAGAACACAAATAAATTATGTTGTCACTAATTTTGAAGTTCCGAATTACACGTTAATCTTGTTATCTTAAATGTCAAGTATCAAGTTTGACTGCTTTTGTTAATTCTGTGTTTAAAAAGTTGTGATAATCCATGGATCGAATATACATTGAAAACCCTACATTATTGCGTATATCTAATATGACTGTTACTAATAGGATTGCAGTTAGTAATCGTTAATTCTGATACAATAGGTTGTTATTGTTGATTATTTGACATTCAAATGACGATTGTTAATATCTGTTATAACAAATTTTGCTATCATCGACGATACATTTATTACTATGATTTTTTTTTTTTTTTTTAATATGTTATTATTATTTTTATATATTCATGCTTAATTCAAATAAATATTTTGTTATTACTCATAGTAAATGATACTATTAATGAAAGTATCGTGGATCATATTTAATATGATCAATCCTCATAATAAATTATATTTGATGCTGGCAGTGTTGCTATTATTAGATAAACAAATAAGTTACACAAAAAAAACTAAAAGTGGGGGTGAAGTGATTAAAGCCAAGGTGAAAGGGGTCATCCTCAGTTATTTTGAAACAATTAAAACAGTAGAGGACCGGATTATGAACGGATTATGAAGGATGATGCATGTGGTACACGTCGCAGTGACAATAGTAATGACCAAAGTATTATGCAAGAATGATGTTTAGATAATCAAGGTTAAAACCTAGTTGCAAAGATGTTATTTTCGCATATTGTAAGATCAAAGGTCATACCACTGACATTGTCAGAAAAGATAAGTTGAAGAAATAAATAAGCTCATTCGGACCATTATGGTGACGATGTCTATGATAAATTTGGTAACTTTCAATAAGTCTAGCATAGAGAGTGGAATGAAAAATAAAACCAATAAGTTTGAATAATACTTTCAGTCTCATTTATGTGAGTATATCGGGCAAAAAAAAAACAAGTTTTAATGAAGTCGGGTGTGTTTTAAACCTCAATACGGAGCTGAAATAAAAATTGGAGTTGAAATAAGGGGTTAAGTAAGAGTAACAAGCGTCTTAAGTTTTATAAAGTTAAAAGAAGCAAAGGAGTTAAAGTTGTTCTATTACAATAAATCGTTGGAGGAAGAGGGGAGGTATATACTTTGCAGGAACAACAACATCAACATTTAAGACAGTTTACTAACCTTTCACACTGAATTTGGATCAACCATATTTCTATCAGGCAAGGTGAGCGGCATCCGAAAAGGGGTGGAGACGAAGCCTAACACGACTGCTCCATGTCAAAGGACTTCTAAAACAAAAAACATGCATGCCAACTCCTTAAAAAAATGAAAAGAAGAAGACAAAAAACGATGAAGGTTATAAAAAATAAAAAGTAGAGAAGTCGACATAAACAAAAGCATTTTGGAAGAGGAAGTACCAAGTTCGTGTTGAACTCTTTGTAAGCCACAACAAGTTACCGACGCTACGATAACTGTTACCATTATTGCTCAAGATAAAATAATAATGAAGATCATGACTGTTGAGAAGGAGAGTGACAAACTTACATTTGGTTGATATTGTTCCCATGAAAGTTGAATGAGTTGAATTATAAACTAAGTTAAAGCATATATATGTGTGAATAGACACCTTAATAATGAATATTTGAGGCAATAAATATCGTGGAATGGTGAGTACTCGCTAACCAACTCTTCCTATAATGTATTTGGCTGCACTTACCGGTCTCAACCTCCAAGTTTGATAAAGTTTGGCGTGCAGGCCGTTTTGGGGCTCGACACGAATGATTGAGTGAAAGACTGATGGTTAAACTTTGTTCGTTGAGTATGATACATTAGGGTCAATGCTTACATTTATTATACAATTTATTACCCCTCACTGATATTTAAATGTCGTTACTTAAAATGAAAAATTTAAGGGAAAATTGGAGCAGAGTTACGATTTTCAATTTTAAATTCGTTTGAGTCACGATTTCGTGAATGTTGCTAAAAAGCGAGGAAAATGGTGAATGTATACAACCCAACTTTAGGGTTGGGTGGGGATGTGTTGTATTGGAGGGATGCCTGAAGTGCATTTAAAACTGGAAACATGATTGCGCCGTAGTTATCCCAAAATTTAATCACCCTGCCACCCTGCCGTAACCGTTGTGGCATTGGGTTGGTTCGAGCTTGGCCTCCGTGGCCTACGCATCATTGCATAGAACACAAGCAAATATCCTTGCAAAGGTACTTGGTTCAACAATAATCTTCATATTAGTTTATTCGAGGCTTTACTGGCCAAGAAAGTGTTGCTTAGGCTAAACTGGAATAGGGACGTTAGGGCTTTGACAGGGCTACTGAACTATCTTCTCTATCTACTTGTAGCCAACATATATAATCAGTGAACCAGTATATTCACCGACCCTTCAGAACATTCAGGATAATGATCAAGCAATCATCATCATCATGGAGAAAGCACGTGTGCCCGTAGTCTAAAGGTTTCTCACCTCATAGAAAGGAAAGTGAAGAAACCATCCGGTCTAAATACCTCAAAAGGTTCCTCACCTCAGTCAACTCCAGCCATCGAGTCTAAACATAACAGCATGGCACAATGTGCCTCTCAATGCATGCGACTGTGAGAAAGGAGCTTACCTCCATATAGCCCAAGGGTGGAGTGCAAAAATCTGCCCTGATGTGGAAGCAAATGTGAGAGTAGGTGACCTAGAACAAACTCCCCTTGCTCTCACATTCACCTCCCAGGGGCACTCTAACTCGAAAGAGGAAACGCTGGTTTTAGTCACGGACTTGACTTGAGAGCGGTTTGCTTGGTTTCACTTCAGCTGCTGCTTGGAAGCACTCCACTCCTCATGTAGAGAGTGCGGGGGCTAGGTCCCACTTGCACGGATTAAGAGATACTGACCATAGATGGCAAAGATGAACGGCCGAAATCTCCTAATTTGCGCAAGTGGGACCTTGCCCCGGGTTCCTCACAAGTGTCGGGTGGAACCGACTCACAGCTGCCTTGGACCTCTCCCCCAGCTTGTGTCCCAAGGGATGGACCCAAGGTAAGCCGGGCCTACTGCCAAATCTACCATTAAGTTTTTAGGGCAAAGACAAACTTTCCCTCCCTAAGAAGGTCTGCTCCAATGCGGAGCGTCAAGATACGTCTTGTATTTCGAACTGCCGTACTTCCCAAGGGCCTCACCAAACGTGCAAATCGGAGAATGTATTCACAGGTATAAGGAGCAAAGATACAATCGCCGTTGTTTTGGTCTTTTTCAGATTCGATGAGTGGTGCGGCGCGGCCCAAACTAGCAAGCTGTCTAGATTTCCCGCTCGAATCTCCAATTTGAAAGCTTTTACATGACGTATTTTTTTGTTTGTCATTTCGCCACTTTTTGTCGGCGCCGATTTTTGCTTCAGCGCGCTCGCGCGGTGTAGTTGCCGTTGTGCTACTCGTCGTTTGTTGACGTCCCTCGTCCACCTCACGCGTAGGTAACCTTCACTGTTCCACGGCCACGCACCATCCTCCACCTTTCCCTCTTCCACCGGCCTTACCTTCTCCTCCTTCTCCTTCTCCTTCTCCTTCCCCTCCTCGTCTTCCCCTGGGCTTTCCTTCTCCTCCTCCTCCTCCCCTCCTCTTCGACTCTCTCTTTCTCCTCTTTCTCCTCTTTCTCCTCTTTCTCTTCCTCCTCCTCCTCCTCCTTCTCGTCCTCCTCCTCTCCCTCCTTTCTTCATCTTCCTCCTCCTCCCTCATTTCCTCCTCTTCCTCCTTCTCCTCCTCCTCCTCGTTCTCCATCTTTTCTGTCTCATTCTCCGTCGTCATTACCTTCCCTCCTCCTCCTCCTCTACTCCCATCTTTCCTCCTCATCTCGTCCCACCTTCCCTTCTCCTCATCGTTTTTTCTCACGTCCTCGTTCTTCATTCCTCCTCGTTGTTCTCTGTCTCCCTCTTCTCCCTCTCCTCCTCCCTCTCGTCCTCCCTCTCCTCCCTCTTCTGCCTTACGTCCCTGTCCTCCCTGTCGTTCTCCTCTTCATTTCTTTGTAGTCAGGCTAATCGCCATATCCAGCGAGATAGAGAGCATGATGGTATGTGGATGGTATGTGGATGGTATGGTGGTGCGAGCATGATGATGGTAACGCGATGCTAGCGTGATGATATGGTATGGTGATGAAGATGGAGGGTCTTCACAGAGTGATCACACTGATTAGCCATGAGGGGCCTATGATAAGCATAATTGCAGATGGCAACTGCGATGCGTGGGATCTCGCTGGAGTTCAATAGATCCTCCTTGATGTTTCCTGCCTGGCCCCCATTTCTTGGCTTCAGCTGGACGATTGCATGTGTGTCACAAGAAAACCTCTTTCACTCTTTAAAAAAATAAATAAATGAAAACAAGCGTGTAGGTACCACAGGCGAGGACTGTAAGAAGGGGGGAGAGAGGACGCCCGAGGAGGAGTGCCGAGGAGGAGGAGCGTAGGAGGAACAGCGTAGGAAAGACATTACCTCCGAAGACGGGGAGCAAGATAGCGCGAGGGGGAGAGGGGGAGGAGGAGTAGACACTGATGTGGGGATGGAGTAGGTGGGGGAGGTGCGCAGGTGGGTCAGGAGTGGGGTGGTGCTTGAAAAGAGGAAACGTCGAGACGTGGCAGTTCCTGTGAACAAGAAGGGCAGGATTTCATTTCGGCCACGTCATCACACAATGTCCAGCTTCTTTGAAGGTGGGAGGGAGAATTCATGTCTGCCACGTCAGCACACTGTAGAAGGAGAAATAACGAGGGGGCAAGTGTCTGTCCTGCCATCCGGCATGTCGGATCTACTTTGACCGTGAAACAGGAAGAGCATGTCCAGTTTCTCTTGACAACGAAGGGAGAAGTCATGTCTGCCACGTCATCACATTGGTAAAGAGAAGAGGACTACCTCAAGACGTTTCGATCGGTCGCTGGCCACATCCTCGGCAGTCTTTTCACCTCCTCCCTCTCGTCTGAAATCCAGATCTCCCCACTGCGGGATATCTACGGCCTCTCCATCCACATCTCCTCCTCCACTTGCCGTCAATCCTTCGCCTGTCCTACTCCCAACTCCTCTCTCTCAGTATCTTGGTTCCCACCACCCACATTGGCCTTCTTCTTGGCATTATGTCAATTCCTTCCTCCTCCTCCTCCTCCTCCTCTGCCTCCGCCTCTGTCTCATCCTCCTCATCGTTCTGCCTCCCGATCGCTGGATCCCTGCCCTCCTCCATGGTATTCGCCCTCCTCTTTCTCCTCCTGTGCCCTCTCTTTCCCCGCGCCTCATGGTCCCCTTTCCCGCCCAGCCAATCCCGTCGATACTGTCGCTCTTCAGACCGGTAGCCAAAGCGTTCCCCTTCTATGCCGATCCCAACCCTACCGTTTGGTAATCTACTCTTCCACAACCTCCTCCCTCCTACCGGTGGTATCCTGACCCCGGTTCCATGATTATCGCGCATGTATTGTGTTCATAAACGAATGACAGGAATTCCTATCGCGCGTGTGCTGTGTTCCTGATCACAATCCCATTTTTGCATCAACGTTCTCCATGATGCCGCCAGAGGTATAGCACACCTGATGATTGTTCTATCGGCTATTCTATCGGCTATTCTATCTGCTCTTCTATCCACTATTTCCATGATGCTCCATGATCGCCTATGATCATCTCGAAAGGTCGGTCGTCCACTGCGCTGTGAGGAAACGGAACGCTGTGAGGAACCTTCACCTTCTTCTGCGCTCATCAAGGTTACAGGAATACCGCGCATGTGCTCCGCGATCTTGGTGGCGCCTTCCTTGCGTGTCAACAATCCCTCCATGATGCTGCGAGAGGTAATGCTCATCCTCCTCAAGTGCAGTCTCCCAGTGCCCTTCTTGAAGACGCAAATCTGTTTAGGATCCGTTGTCCACTACGCGGTTCTGTGGCTGATCCCGTTAATCAGGATTACCGATTCCTCTTCGTTGGTTGCGTTGTGATGCCGGTTCCCTTGCGCCAATCATTGTGTCTTGATTGCAGCGTGCTTGCAAATCAAACGCTATAATACTTTCTGTTCATATGTCTTCCATTGGCAGTGGGACTACTATACAAGCAAAGCTATTGTGTAAACCTTTGCACTTCTTGCTTCTTCTTGCTGCTTCTTGCTGCTTCTTGCTGCTTCTTGCTGCTTCTGCTGCTTCTGCTTCTGCTTCTGCTGCTTCTGCTGCTGTAATTGTTCCCGTTTATTTCGTCCCTTCTGCTTACGGAGCTTGGCAACCTGAGGTTGTGGCGAGAGAGGACGGTCGCTGCTGCAATTGTTCCCTGCTCTCTGCAGTTTTCCTTCCCAATCTGAGTGCATCTGACGGGACTTTGCCAACTTGGGACTTGGGACTTGGGACTTTTGAGTGTCGGTTGGGAGTGCATCTAAAACGTTGTCCATTCTTCTCCATTCTTCTGCACCGAAGTTCGTTGCTGATGGTCACTCTCTCGCACGACTTGAAGTCCCTAAGTCTCTCATCTGAAAGTCTGGCCGAGTCTCTCCCAGACTTTCAGGTCTGGAGCGCCATGCAAGCAACGATCTGCTGCTGCTACACACGTCGGTGTCTTCTTCCTCTACTGCTGCCCCTCTGCAAGCAAGCCTGCCCTCGTGCCATCCATCATGATTCTTTTTTCCTTTTGTCTTTTTATCGCCTTCTTGATCACAGCAAAGACGTCAGCAGGGTGTTGCCAACTGTGCCATCCATCGTGATTCTTTTTTTTCTTTTCTTTTTTTTTAGTATATTTTAAATTAAAAGGGCGACAGGCTTGAGATATCGTCGTGAAACTCACCGGCCCCAGGTAATTCAGGAAAATTTTGTTCCTCTGGTTGGTTGGTTCCATCATCTGGATTCGAATTAAGGTCTGCAGCACATTTCAACAGTTTGTGGGTGGGTGTGCCGACCGAGCTATAAGTCCATTGGTATCCATCACGATTCCGCCTTCTCGGTGGACCTCGATCTACCCCAAAGCTCTTGTGTGTCGTCTTTCTCTGCTGCTGCCTCTGCTGCGGTTCCCGTGTCATAGTCTTCATTGCTTTCTTGATAGCAGCGAAGAAGATGTATGCTGCTGGTTTTGCCTCTGTGGATGATCCGTGTGCCCCCAAGCTCGCCTGGCGTCAGCTAAAGTATAAGATGCATGCACGCTAATCCCGTGCGGAGCGGAGAGTTTGCATAAAGGGGACTGAATGACTGGTCTAGTCTATCCCCTGGAGTCTGCAGGATCTTGCTGAACTGCTGGATCGGCAGAAACCGAGCCCATTTGGGCCTGGCTTAACAGCTCGCTCCATGATTATGATCCTTCCTAATAGCCTTTTATCGTGTGTCATGTTATGGGGGGGGGGGGGGGGGGGGGGAGATTCTGTCATAGCCTGTCAGCAAAGCTGCTGTCAGCTGTGCATAGATCACCATGGTTCTGCCTTCTTGTGCGACATACGTACAACACGCCCGAGCTTGTGCGACAGACGTACAAGACGCGCCTACCGTCTTCACCCGAACAGAACGCCCGGTCATTGGGCCTCGCTGCACTACTCTACAAATGTGCAAAATGAGACTGAATCCTCCGCTAGAACATGGAAAGATACATTGCCATCGTTTTTGTCTTTTGTGCATCTAGAGAGGAGTGCAGCGAGGCCCGTTATAGCGGTATTTGCGGCAACTTGCAGTCTGGATTCAGAGATATTTACCGGGGGCGTTCTATGGGGGTGAAGACGGAAGTAATCTGGCGCGGAGAGTTTGCATACAAAGGAAAAAAAATAATGCCTGACAGTCGGTCTCTTAACCCAACTCGAACGAGTCCGCAGTCTGCAGACTCTTGGCTGAAACACTCCTTGAAACCGAGGCCCTGTGGGGCTTTAATGACGATTCCAAGATTCTCCCGAATGTTGTTTTTTTTTGGGGGGGGGGGGGGGGGGAAGGGGGGGGTGTGTTAAAACGATGCCTGGGGTGCTGTTGGGGGTGATACGAGCTAGCCCAATAGCACCCTTGGTTAGCGGCTTGTGGGTATTGGTGGGGAGCGTGACATGGTGGAAAGCGCGGGTCAGTGTCCCTGAGTGAACACGATTTCGTATGCGGATTAATAGTTTTCCCGGCAGCATTGATTGCCCTGGCAGACCCTACCGTCTTCCCCCGAATAGAACGCCCGGTCATTATACCTGTATTTGGTGCAACTTTCAGTCCGGATACGGCATTAATTACCAGGCGTTCTATTCGTGTGAAGACGGTAGGGGATTGGCCGCCCGCCCAGGTTGTATAATAGTAATTTGCAAAATGCAGCCAGCTAAACAGCTGAATCCCCTACCGTCTTCCCCCGAATAGAACGCCCGGTCATTATGCATGTAGAGAAGCGTTATATTGCAACGCAGTGTTGCTTGGTCTGGCTGAGCAGGGATTGACCATAGCTCTGCCACCGAATGGACAAAGCAGCTGTGCTGGCTGGGAACGGGCCTGGCGATCCTTGGAAAAGCGGTTTCGCCCCACGTGTTTAGACTTGAGGAGCTGGGGAACGACTGACGTGTCTGTGCTGAGTCATTGTAGGCATTTTTAAGATCGCCCACCTGCTTGTCTTCTCTTGTCAGTCCCCAACTAAAAGTTACCTGCTGTTTGTTCGCTGTTTTCGCCGCGGAACAGTTTCGCCGCACGCGGCCTTGCTGTTGTTCCCGTATCTGAGAGCCGGAGGGCTGCAAACAGCTTCTCCTTGTCTATGCCAGATGCAGATCAAGAATGAGGAGAGGAGGGAGTAAGGAATGCTTAGCGATGAACCCTCGATCTGTTTTTCCTCTTATGGCTAGTGGCTACCCACGTGCATTTTACACGACCAATCTTCATTCAGTTGCCCCCAATCTTTCCGTATCCTACCCCTTTCCAAAAAATTGTCCTTGTATTCTACCTTCTTACCCGGGCAGTTTTTTTTTCTTTTCTTTTTCTTAACTCCTCTCTTCGTCTCAGTCGAGTCCGTAATATATATTCTATCTGAACTGGTTGTAGAAGTTCACTCCGTATCAAGCCTTTGGTAAAGAATTTCGGTAAAGAATTTCGGTGTGACGCTGAGGTAAAGCTTGTTTAGTTCTTTTTTTTTTTTTGTTTAGTTCATTATTCTGCACATCGTAGTTTTTTTTTTTTTTTTTCAGAATTTTTCGTTTTTTTTTTGTTTTTTTTTGTTTTTTTTTGGCAGGTATTTTGCCTGGGCCCGGCCCCGGTTGGTTGGTAGCCCAGGCTCAAACTTCGTTGTTGTCTAATGGGTAATTGCACGCGACTGGTGTATATGCACAAAACGTATTTACATCTGGGCGCCCAGCCATAGAGGTGACAAATCAATAAACATCACGCAAAATGATTCTGTATTTGTTCACACAAACGAACAAGCCTTTACTCGTTTGTCGCTCTCGGCTAATGAATGTCAAAATCTTCTTCTCCCCAGTGTTCATTGAGAAGCTTGTACCCAGAAATCTGAGTTGAGTGGATTCGAGCTTGGAAAAAAAGAAGAAGAAAAAAAAAAAGAGCTTGGAACACTACTCTGGCAATCGTTGATTGTTAGCCAATCATTTCTCTCCCTCCCATAGAATGTTGTACCTCCCAACAGGACGGCATGCTGAACTGTCGGTGGAAATCTGCCTATGGAAAACCCAAGAAACCCAAGTGGGCCCAGCCCAGTATAATAGGTTCTGCTACAGGCCTTTGGGAAGGTCAGGGGATCAAATCCCAGGATGGCTTAACAGGTGGGGAGACCAAGGTTGGTGGTGACATTATGTGCATTCCATTCTCCGTCAGTCTTTTCTCCGATGAACGGGATTTTTTTCTTCATTTGCCTCTTGGGATCTGTCTCTTTTGAGTCAGCATTGAGATGCGATCAAGGCATGTACATGATGGTTGAGGGTTTGGAAAATGATTGATTGAACTTTATGTAGCGGACCCTACTCTCGCTACCGTCTTCCCCCGAACATAACACACCCCGAAAATGAATCTATACAAGGTAAGGTATGTTTCCGGCCCGGTACAGTCGCAATGAGGGTGCGTTGTGTTCGGGGGAAGACGTTAGTGGCTTACATTGCAGTACAGGTAACCAATGGCATGTCGTGAGGAGAAGAGCGCAAGGAAATTCACTGAGAGTGTTCTCAGACCTTCAAGAATACTTGGCAGGGTGCCTGTTGTACTGATGAAAGCCCGAATGTTACTTGCAACAAAGTGATGGGACTCTGGTTCTCTTGCCACTTTCTCCCTGGAACCGACCCTCTTCTTCTCATGTGGAGAGAGAGAGATGCCATTACAATGTTGCTAAGAAGATGGAGGGAGCGACGAAGCATCACTAACGCCACCTTTGAGACAGGTTTTAGATGCAATGGAGGAAAATGGAGGATGGCAGGTAGAGGAATTCTCCTCGGATGGGGAGAAGCTCGTAAGCAACTCGTGGGGACAAAAAGGATAAGCAGCGAAATTCTGTAATGGCATCCAAGCAATGTGGTAATGCCGCGCTATAGGCAACAGACTACTGCCAACGCCCAAGGAGTACTTGCTGGAGATAGCATGACTCTATCAAGCCAGCAAATACGAAGAGCATTACAAAAAAAAAGGCAGTCGTGGTGTGGTGTGCTATTTTAAGGAGCATTACAAAAAAAAAGGCAGTCGTGGTGTGCTATTTTAAGGTCCATGCAAGATTCTATAATGGCGTCCAAGCAATGTGATGACGGCGCTATAGGCAACAGAAGACTCGTGACCTTCTTGGAAACAGGGTGGAGAGAGGGAGGCAGTTGTACTGCCAAGGCCCAATGAGTACCTGCTGGAGACAGAATGACTCTATCAAGCCGGCAAATAGGAAGGAGAATTACAAGAGAAGGCAGTCATGGCGTGCTATTTTAAGGTCCATGCCTTCCCTAGCGCCTAAGAAAAAGCGTGCTGAGAGAAGAACACTCCGAAAACAGCATTGCAGCACTGTACATGATTTAAACGCCATCTGCGGGGCGCAATCGTGGGCGTGTATAGATCAGCCATACAAGCAGCAGTTGTAATAACCCTCACGTCATCGGCATTTGCGAAACTGAAATGCTGCATGGACCGTGAAATAGGACCCCCTGGAAGTGCTGCCAAGCTCGGTCGCGGCTCTGCGTGAAGGTCCATGTTTCACTTCCTGTACTGTGATCTTTGGGCCCTTGGTCTGTGGTGTGATTGTTGAACCAGCGGGTAGAATGATTAGATGGGAGGGCGTGCTGTTGTTATGGGAATCTGACTGGACTAGCCTGACTTGGATTGCTTCATGGCTATGTATTATTCAGATTGGAGTGTTGGGAGTAAAAGGAGACTTATTCCTCTCTCAACAATTGTGAGCTGACCCCCTACACCCTTCTTCTCCTCCTTTATAGGTCGGCATCCTTGCCAAGTCGATAAAAACGCACACAGTTGTCTTGGATTGCTTCATGGCTATGTATTCAGAGTGTTTTGGTCACACAGTCTTGTGCTGGCTGTATGTTTATGTTGTGTGCATGCACCTTCTGCAGGGACCAAGTGGAGAAGGGAATACTGGGTTTGGTATTTTCCCCTCTCTTTTCTCTTGACGCCGTTTTGGGTTTTCTGTGTGATGACTTGCTGGATGGCCTATTGGTAACGAGGGCCATAAATATGGAATGATTATACAATGAGGCCAGTTCGTGATATCTCAGATTGTCAGGCCAGTCGTCGGCGGGCCATAAATATGGAATGATTATACAATGAGGCGAGTTCGTGATGTCTCGGATTGTCAGGCCAGTCGTATTTCTCTTGTCCCCTGCCTTTCCCTGTCAGGACAGTGGTCTCTCTCTTGCAATGAGGATCTCCTGTTCTTTAGACTGGCAACAACTGATAGGTGCCAATGGTACCATACCAGGATTATATAATGAGGCCAGTTTGTGATGTCTCGGATTGTCAGGCCAGTCGTATTTCTCTTGGTCCCTTCCTTTCCCTGTCAGGACAGTGGTCTCTCTCTTGCAATGAGGGACTCCTGTTCTTCAGACTGGCAACAACTGATAGGTGCCAATGGTACCATACCAGCGTAAGTGTGAAGTCAGGTGCAGACAGAAGCAAGCAGTGATCAACATTGGAGGCCCTTTGAAATGACAAAGACATAAGCCTCCTCTCTATTCGATCTTCCCCGCTAGGGCTGCCTGAAACGTGTGCAGTAGGTACCTGGCCTTTCCGATGTGTGTTTGAGTCAGCATTGACTCAGCAGGTTGGGCTCGGAGGTAGTGATGGTTGTTGTGAACGCATTGTGTGTTTGGCAAAGAAAGGTTGAACGCCGGGGGCAGGCTATTGGATGTCTGATTAGTGTGCAAGTCCTGTTCTTGTCGTTTTGAATGCTGAACAATGTTGCTGGTTTCGTTTTGGGTTCGATAGGCAGGCATGCAGCAGGAATAGAGCTCATTGCAGGGAGGGCTTCCACGGCTAGCCCTTGAGGACTTGAGGATGGGCCACAGAGGAGGAGGAGCTGAAAGGCGTTTTGTCGCAAAGGGAGACGGGACAGTGATCATAGTAGAGGAACCACCAGGGAAACAGTCACGCGACATGGGAGTGCCTCCGCCAAGGCCGTTGGGAAGGGAGATCGGGAATGGGAAGATGGGACCCATACGTCCTGGCGATATTGGAAGCCAACAAATGCCTATCGACATTGATGAAGATAGCTCATCGGCAGGGGAGCAGCCATGCAACCGGAATGGACGGATAGTGAAACGGCCGCCTCTTGCCAAGGAGGAAAAGACGTTTTCGAAATCGGTAAGACGTGACTCTACCGCTACTTTTGACATTGCAGTGCGCAAATGTAGTGTGCAGAACCTCTCTAGCCCTCAGTATCCCAACCCCTTGGCCTTTCTCTCTTCTCGTCCTTTTTTTTTTTTTTTCTTTTTTTAATTTGGACCGCTTCTCGGTATATGCGTGTCATCCTTGCGTAGGGGCCATGCTAATCTTCTCTGTATCGTTCCAATTTTAACGGATGTCCCGAAGGACTGGTGTATGCCTTCATTGATTGTGTATGCATCTTTGTTTTCTATGGATATGCAGAGCCTTGCTCCATTGGCTTACTGCTTGCTTGTCTATGCCTGCCTGCTGGCCTATGCACCAAAAATTTGCCCATCGAGCAAACTGAAGAACCCCGTCCTGCTTGGCCATTAGGCAGGCAATAAACGCGTATGCACACATGACTGTTTATCTACACGAGCATTTTGACACCTACTCCCTGGCTGTCTGCCTGCACAATCACCTATCTCTGCGTCCAGCTACTTCACAAACAATTCACTCATTGCTCAGCTGCCTCTGCCTAATTCAAGTTTCAGTTGCATGCCCCAGAGGCCAGCAGCCAAATTCCCCCCTTAATGTGCATACCAGCTTCATGACATCATAAACCAGCCAATCTGCACATGCGATCGGCCTATCCTTTTCACGGTCTGTGTCTCTGGTTGCTTCTCTCCTTGTCCCTGTGCTATGCCATCTGCTGCACCTCTCTTGGATCGCTTAGGCTCTGCTTTTCAAAAAAAGTGTTGCTGCGCCCGTTTCTATTTTGCAAGCATTGAATTGCTTTGCCTGTCAACAGTCTCGTGCAATGATCGCGCCCGGTCAAATGCCCAATTGTCAAACATGCAAGCTCGCAATTCATCCACACAAAGCTCAAACAAACATGAAATGATGTGAACACTTTGTGAGGACCCATATTTTATCATTGAAAACTCAAAGAACAACGAAACAGTTCCATCTTGCATATAAGTGGCAGCTATGGCTGCCTTGGACTCTTCCCAGGTAAGCTCTTCTCTCTCTCTCTCTCTCTCTCTCTCTCTCTCTCTCTCTCTCTCTCTCTCTCTCTCTCTCTCTCTCTCTCTCTCTCTCTCTCTCACGCATCGGCTCCCTCTCTCTCTCTCTCTCTCCTCTCTTTCTCTCTCTTTCTCTTTCTGAACTAAGTCCTAGCTATGATGCCCTGCGTGGTTGACTAGCGTATTGTGTCTTCAGACAAGTCGCACTCGAAGTTGGTCGCACAAGATTGTGAACAGCAGCGCTTCCGCAACAATTTGAGAGATTGTGAACAGCAGCGCGTCCGCAACAATCTTGGACTTTGGGGACAACTGTTTCCGAAGTTGGTTGCACTCGAAGTTGGTCGCATGAGGTTGTCTTCAGACTAACCGTCCTAAAAGTCCAAGATTGTGAACAACAGCTCTTCCGCAACAATTTGAATGAACAAGTGTTTCCCTTTGGCACTGTAGCCGCCTTTTGTTTTTGCTGCAGTTCACACAATTTTGGACTTTCAGGACTGTTACCTGTCCCTGCCCTGTTGGCCACGGTTGCTTGTCGGTTCAGATGTCACAGGACTTCCGTTGGATGCTGCTGCTATTTCTGGGACTGAGACTGTTGTGGACTGGATTCCTACAGCTTACCGGACACTTCCACAGCGGTGATTCGAACTTGGGCCTACTGGTTGAGCCACGTTACATTGGACATGTTTTCTTGGTTAGATGCGGAGATGCGTGAAATCCTTTCAGTCGTGTAGCATGAGACTGTGAGATTCGTGACCCCTATTCTGTCTGCGTTTGTTTGAGCTAGAGTTTTGGAAATGCGAAGATTTTCGATGTTTGATTCCGTCAAATCATCAGTATCATCCCCCAAGCTTCTGCGGGATGGTTGTAGAATGGTTTGAATGAGGCCTGGTTTAGTGAAGCCTGGTCTGGAATGCCCTTTCAGACCCATTGGGAGAGGGCTTTGGGCTGGTGGACCTTCAAAACGTCATTCTGCTTATCCATCTGCCTGTCTAAGATGGCTTTCTGAAAGGAAAGTGCACAGAGCTGTGGTTAAGGTAGCATACAGCACACATACATTTGTTCTTTGCACGCCACCTAGTTTTCACAATGTGCAAGCAATTTTGCCATTGTGGGAGACGGGTGTGCGGGCACCTGGCACTCGACAACACAAATGTGGCCAGCTTTGGACTCTTCTTTTCTATCTTGTGCCTTTTGAATGGATCTGGTTTCGATCTTCAATGGTCTTACACAATACAGGTCTTGCTACTTCTCTGGCTCTGTAGATTGAGCTGCTAGGATTGCATTTGTGCTTGCGAGCAATTCTTGAATGGATCTGGTTTCGATCTTCAATGGTCTTACACAATACAGGTCTTGCTACTTCTCTGGCTGAGCTGCTAGGATTGCGTTTGTGCTTGCGAGCAATTCTTAAATGTCTTTTTGGATTTTGAACCACCAGTACATGCCAGCCATTGGGGGCCACAGGCCCCTTTTGAAGGCCACCCGCCGTCGATTTATTTCTTCGATGGTGTGCGAGCCTCCGAAATTTTAGGAGAGGCTCAATCGGACTCTCAACTTGGCTGGGGCCATGTACTGGTGCTTTAACGACGAATACATCGGGGTATCTTTTGAACGAGGCGGATTCCCCCCGCGCGTCAAGCTTTGCTGGAACGCCAGGGTGGCGTTTTTGTTTTTGTTTTCGCTGGCGCCGCCCGCCATTTTGGTCCGGTTGCCCTGAGCCTCCGAAATTCTAGGACAGGCTCAATCTTGATTCTCAAGTTGGCTGGGCCCATGTGCTGGCGGTTTAAGCAGTGGCACTCTGGTGTTGCAGGAGGGGTTCTCATGCCATCGGGCCTGATTTTATGGACGGGCTCAGAGGGCGTTTATAGTGGGTGAGATTTGTGTAGGTGCCAATAGGCTCGCCTTGAGGGCGCATAGGCCTTCCTCGCATAGCCACCTGGTCCAGATGTGATTTCCCGGCTAGTCAGTGGGGTAAGTACTGTTCAGTAGTTTTCTTTGATCTGACTGTGCATAGAATCAAACCGGTATCTCTGGGGAAACAACTCAATGCCTTCACCACTGAATACACAATGCTGTGCTAAAAAGTACTGCGACATTGATGATGACAATCACCCACCACTGCACAGCTGCAGTATGATCGCTCACTCATCCACATGACATCACTTGGGACTTCTAGAGAGGGCACATGGGCCCATCCACCTGGTTCGGCTATGGTTTCCGGACTGGTTAGCATGGTAAGTATTGTTCAGTACTCTTTGATTGAACATTGAATGCAATCAAACCCGCGATCTCTGGCTCAGCAGCTGGATGCCTAACCACTGCAGTCGTCACTTGATATCTAAGAAATGGAGCCATTCCGGTTTGGAGATCCACCCCACCCCTGCCTGGCTGCCGTATGATGACCCTCTCACCTGCATGGAATCACACAAGACCCTCCTGCAGACACATGGGCCCTCCTCATGCAGCCAGCAGGTCCTTGCTACCGTCTTCACCCGAATAGAACACCGGGTAATTATTGTCGTATCTGGGCTGAAAGGTGTGCCAAATACAGCTGTAATGACCGGGCGTTCTATTCGGGTGAAAACGTAGTTACTGTGGTAGTATTTACCTGTGGTCCTGATCGTAGAGGAGTTATACGGATATCTTTGGCTCAACAGCTGGGACGGAACGATGTCAATACTAGAAGGTCCTACACCCAGGCACCCCTTCCTCGCACAGCTGCAGTATGATCAGCCACTGATGCACACAACTCCCCTTGAGACCCTCCTAAGGGCACATGGGCTGTCCGCACACATCCACCTGGTATGTGTATGGTTCCCATGCTAGTTAATGGGGTCATTGAACCGTCATTCACCTTTGGTCAGCCCCTGCAGGGAAACAAGCTGGCAAAGTCTACCTGGTATATGTGTGATTTCCATGCTAGTTAATGGGGTCATTGAACCGTCATTCACCTTTGATCAGCCCCTGCAGGGAATCAAACTGGCAAAGTCTGGCTCAACAGCTTGATGCCTTAACCGGTGCAGTTGTGAGGTCGTTATCGAAAGGTGAGCCATACTGGTTTTGAGGATTTCCCCTCTTCTCCTGTAGTAAGTGAGAACTTCCCTTCTGGACTTGCGGCAATTCATGCGAGAGATGGTTAATGGAAGGCCCAAATTTTGGGTTTTTTCGCTGCATCACCACAAGCAATGTCGTTGACAATTTGACGAACAAACAATTCGGGCTCATAATACAAACAGCGAAAAACCAAACAGGCAAAAAAACAACGAAAAAAAACAACCCAAGAGCACTATAAAACCCTATTCGGATTAGCTTTTGGAGTTCAGCAAAAATTAAGGGAAATATGGCAGCAGTTTCGGTGAAAAAAATTTGCCAAAAATGACACCGCCTATTAACTAACTTTTAGTGATTCATGCACACATAAATTCGAGTTTTGCTTCATGATTGGACTGGGAGGATAACAAAGAGTTTTGCTTGACAGTTCTGCGTACATTTTGCTCAGTCTCTGTTGTTTTTATCACATTTTGACATGATTTGTTAGCTCCCTATATGACTTGTTCTATCCTTATTAGCATGCTGGTGAAATTCTGAAAGTGCACCTGGAGCCATTCTGTGGCATTCTGTGCTCTCGGAGGACTGCTGCAATGCAACTGGTGGTGTGATCTGTTTATCAATCATTGTGGTTGTGAATGCGACAGTGGTGCGAAATGATGATGATTGATGAAAGGGTTATCTGTGGTGTGCACGTCTTTGTGGGCTCTCGTTTGTCTGGTGATGGACTCTGATTGAAGTTAGCGTTTGATTGCCAACACATTGAAACAGGAGCCTCCACAGGACCGAGCACAGAAAGAGCGGGGTGGGAGAGAGCGATGTCTGTAAGTTCCCTACGTTGTACAACACCACTCCAGAAAATTGTGATGACTTCATATGTTGCTGGCTGCTTTTTTCTTTTTCTTTTTTCTTTTTTGAAAAAACAGAACCCTTTGGGCTCTGGCTCCTTTCCATTCTGGGGGTCATCAGTCCCTTCCTGTTTTTTTTTTTTTTTTTTTTTTTTGAAAAAACAGAACCCTTGTGTGATGCTTTGCTGATGAGATTAATAAGAATCTGCCACATGATGGGATATTGGCAAACGGCAGGTCTCTTGAAACCGTGTTTCTGTTATGTGTCAAAGGAGGGGTTCATGTGCTTATGAAAACCAAGGACATCAACATAGGCCCCTATGCTAAGAGGACATGTACGGCGGGTGTGTCCTGGGTGTAGGACGGAACGATGTCAATACTAGAAGGTCCCTGCATTTCGGGAGTGTAGTATATTTGCGTCAAATGAGGCCCTGTGCCTATAGTACTGAGAACAGAGCTTTGCAAGGGATGAATTTTGCAATAGAGTTTGCTGTTTCTTCTCATCACGTCTCTCTAGTAGAAAATGAACAGAGGTGGTTATATCATGCTGTTCCCTGAGTGGTAAAGGAATGTGATACTCGTAGGTGACCGTTTCCCAATTCGGATCGTATTGGGGGTTGTACCGCTTCTCTCCCTCTCATAGAATGTTAGGATAACTAGAAAGTGGCATTTGCAGTTAAAGAAAAAAAGAGAAAAAGGAAGTGGCATTTGCATGTACACCATTCTTTCAATTTAGTGGTAAAAGACAAAGTATTGTTCACTTGAAATGCTTTGCCTTCCCAATTGTCCTTGCAGGATATGTCGGCGTGCAGCATGCTTGAAGGGTTCCAAGCTTCTTCGCTGCAATTTGTGCCCACGGTCTTGCCACATGGCTTGTCTGGGCTCTACTGGGGTGAGGGTGCCTGAACACAGACCCCAATGCTGATTGATTGTGATTTTCTGCTAGTCTAATTTGGACACATGCAGCTAGTGTGCTTGGCCCCCTCGGACCTTTGTGTGCAGTAGAACCTGGATGTGGAAAAGCAGCAGAGTTGTCAAACAGTTACTTGATTTCAACGTCGCTGGGATTCCAGGAGGCCACATTTTTTCCTGGTTGCCCCGTGGAATCAAACATCCTATGGCCATGGTCGCCGGAAACGTCCGGCAGCCTCAGGCCTCAGAAGCTTTCCAGATGCAATTGCGGTTTAAGTGGCTCCATCGAATACCTGGATGGACTCTTTAAGTGAGTTGATAAATTTCTCTTTGGATAGCTCCTTTATTTTTTACACCGTCCTTGACCTGGTCCTCGATCTTGTCCTCGTAATCTGCTTCTTGTCACACATCTACGTTCAGGTTTCCATCAATTTATGACATATTAACAGGTAGGTGATAACACAACCATGTGGATTTATGACCTATTAAATCACCAGTACTTGGCCCATACATCGGCTGCGGGGTGTTGTCGTTAACGCCCCGCAACTTCCGGAGGCCCGGGGTACCTGACCTGAAAGGCTGGCGCCGCCAGCCAAAACTTTTATTTTTGGTTGCGCTGGCGGGTCGGCACGAAACGGCGTGCAGGCCGTTTTCAGGCTTGGCATCGATAGCTGGGCCAAGTACTGGTGGTGTAAAAGGTAGGTCCTCTTTTTTTATTTGTTTTTATTTTTTTATATAACAAAACCTTATGACTCTGGTTCCTTTCCATTCTGGGGAGGGTCAGTCCGGTTCCTATTCCACCGGCAAGTCACATTTTACATAGTGGAATTCAACTCACCCATGCCCCTCCCCGCAACGGTTGGGAGGTCCGAGTAGACAGCATTGATTTCTTCCCTTGGGAAGGATGAACCACCTCTCACCCCTGCCTAGATTAGCTTGGCCAACTACGGTGCCGTTCGCTCCTCTAAGCTTGAAAGCTGTCTGGTACTACATTGCAAAACTAGAGCAGAGCACTGTGTGTGTCCTTTGGTGATCGCTCTTACCGAGGTCGGCCTGTACTACGAGCCCTCCGGCCCATTCGAAAAGAGATTCAAATGGTTCACCGTAGATCCTAAATTAAAGCAAATGGAGAATAACGTGAAGCTTGGGGATCATGCAGTGCAGACCTGCTACCTGTTCACTTAGGCTGTGTGGTGCACATTAACAAGAACTGTGAAACAGGTGTCAACAGAAGTGTAACGCTACTTTTCGTCCTTTTTTAAATGCAAATATGCTGATGTCGTGTGTTTATTATGTGTTTTGCATTAGTGCCTTTTGCGTCGGTAACTGCTGCTATTGGACTGAATCTTGTTCTTTTGCTGTAATCTTCGAGCTGAGTCGTCAGGTGGAAAAGGTTGGGTATGGGTTGGGACCAACAGGTGGTGTATCTGACTCCTCTGATCAAATCTTGTTCCTATTTTTTTTGGAAATTTATGTCCTTACAAAAAAAAGGAATGTGAGCTAGACGGAGGTTTCAGTACACAGCCCAGCGCGGTATATGACATTGAGCTATGGAGGTGTTTTCATCAGGCTCATTCCTTCCTTCCACATGATAACCTTCTCCTTCCCCATGC